GATGCAACGATAATTCTGATGTTTTCAACAGCCTTTAAATTTGAAACTATCTGTTGCCATTCGTGAGCAATAGTTGCAAAAAGTGGTTCATCCCAACTCAGTTTTGAAACCCATAATTTCTGTAAAAATATCTTGGCTTTGGTGATTACCGGACCAATCAGTCCTAAAGATCATAAAGTCTGGCAATTGTCGATAAAATGTCTCTTTTAGTATATGATGATTTCTCCTTGATTGAGACTTTAAAGCTGAATTCATCCTTCTGAGAAATTCCATGAAATGCCTAAGCTTTAACCACATTATCACTTTTGGAGGAGAATGAAAGCTCAGAGCTTGTAGAAGGCTATCCAACAGTTCAGGAGAATTAGAGTTCCATTTGTGCAAAGTCATTCCACAACTATGAAAAAGCTGTATAAGCTGATTTTTCAATTCCCTTGCTAAGTTTGATGAACCAGAGATGACATCATCAACATAACAGTCTGACAAGACAGCTTTGGCAGCTTCAGGATATTTATGCATTTCGTCATATGCAAACTTGCTTTATGCATCTAATGGCTAAAAATGGAGCACTTTTAGTACCATAAGTCACCGTCTATATTTTGAGTCTATATGTCACGGTGAGTCGCTAAAGTATTTCTTCTGCTCCCATAAAAGATTTCTAAGTATGCTTGGGATTTTATTCCATCAACTTTCTTATTCTTATATGATCATGTAGGCACGTTTTTTATTCGATTGAAATTCCATTCTAATTTTCTTCCGTTTGTCTTGAAATGTTGTTCACAGAATTCTTCTTTGGCTAAGAATTGGCTTTTTCTTCACCAATATTTTCCCACTAACCAAAATTTTTCTACTAATCTATCAATATTATCAACATTACCGAAGAAGTCCACAATAATTCTGACAATTTTCAAAGGGATGTTTTCAAAGAACCAGTAGCTATATAACCAAACACAGAATTTCTAAAAACGAGATGATTTCGTAGAAGATTTAAATTGGTCCATTAATAAAAATGTCATAAAATATTTCTGCTCCTTAAAAGCAGATCTATATGCTAAGATGGAGTTGCAAATTCTGGATCAAGCCAAACTTGATGTATCAGGAATATCTATATTTTCAAGTATTTAATTTTGTAGAAGGTACTAAATCTGTGATTTTATTTACAACTAAAAAATTTAATGAAGCAGAGAACGAATTATTTCCATTAAAATAGAAGCAAAAGTACGAGATTTAATGTTTGAAATTTGCCCATTTAAACTAGAAACAGGAATATTTATTCTTTCCCTTTTTTAAATTTGCACGCTCACAGATTCATTCATTTGTAGCAAAATTTGACATGTGAGCCTGAATCAAGGAACTAGCTCTTGCTTTAACGAATTGGCCATAAATATTTCTAACCCAAACAATCGCAGTTGAAAGGAGAACAGTTTTATTTTCGAAAAAAGACATGCCGATAAGGCTTTTTCTGTTGATTTCATTGCTATTCAAAACAGCCTCATTGGTTTTGCGGTTCTCTGGGGAGGGCGTAGTTTCACTTTGCTTTCCCCCACTTGTTGCAGACGACATGGAAGCGTCATTCCGATGAAGAAGTGGAATTATGTTTTCGATTTGCAAACCGAGTACAAAAGTGTCTAGACTGACAGGAAGCTACTTTATGATTCGATGTAAACAATTAATGCACAAAGAAAGCTTTTTAATCATTTCGTATCGTTCCATTGGATTTAATGCTAGAAATGTTTCACATTTAAAAATTGCGTGATTATCTTTTGCAAAACGAACATTAAATTATTGTTACAGTCAAAAGTCGTTATCGGACTCGTCGGACTCGGCGATCGGATATCGTTTTCCGAGTATAGATCTCAGTTTAATCTGGTAAATGCTGCAGAATTAAAAATTAAATAGAAACATTTAATTTTGAAAATAAAGAACAATTATGATCAAAGGTATATCAAAATTTACAAAAAAGCTGAAATTTATTTATTATTAAACTTTCTTTCAAGTACAGTGTTAAGTGCTTCGTTTTTAGTGATATATTCTCTTAATTCCTAAACATACATAAATTTGTTCGTACAAATTCCGGTTCAGTCATAATGCTGTGTCGAGAATACCCTAATTTGTCAATCGAATCTTCGTTTCGAAGAAATTGACACTATACGGAAGCGAATGGAATGACGAGGAATTGGATTTACTCATATCAAAGACAGAGTACATCGAGATGAAATACTACGTTTAATAAGTAAGGAATTATAAGCCAATAAAAATAAAACATCTGCCTGATATAAGGATTAGTGCGACAGATCAACATCCATTTCATTGAGCGCCGCGACGTTCCCCCTCCAACACCAACAGAGCGCGGTGCAATTGAGAAACAGATTTCAGAATGGTTAGATAAACAAATCCATTATCATTTATCCATTTTTGCAGAAATTCCACAATGACTTCGAATCCATACTTTGTCTTTGAGATCCTTCGGCAGCTCCAGAATCGAAAATCTTGTTGACATAATCGAAAGTTCAGTAACTTTATAAATTGCTTAAACCAGTCTGCCAAAAAATAAAGCCGGACCAATTCGACGAGATAAGGAACAACGCAATCGCAACCAGTAACTGAATTAGAAATTTTAGTTAGCTTATTACCGTCCGTTATCAATTAAACGAGCATTCGAAATATTTTGCGCCATGCGCACACGCCATTATTTGCCCGTAAAGGTCTTACGCGCATGTGGCGTTCAACAAGGGACACATGCGCAGAAAGTTGGTATCGTGAGTCCGGCTATAGAGAATCGGACTATGGGTGTCGAAATTAACGACTTTGACTGTATGTTTTTGTCACTAAACGATCGAAACCTTATTTGGAGGAATGTTTTGTTTTTGGCAAATACGTTGTTTGCATATTTCTAATATTGGCACCGCTTTGAAGAGAGTCATGAAAAGAATCCAGTAACATAAATAATTACTTTATGTTTCAAATTGCTTACTGATTCTTTATCTTTATTGAGAATAATATAATCAGCAAAGCTTCGCTTGCATTATCCGTTTTAATTCCATACGTAAACTCTAAATATTTCTGAACTTACAATAATGATCGTAATCTTTGGATTTTCAGAACTATTTTTTCAATAGAAAGTAATTCATTGATTGAGAATTCACCAGTCTACTATATATCTTCCTCAAGTGCCTTAATAGGAAAAAATGTATCATATTGTTTGTAATCTCTTTGCACCAATTCACCAGATGTAAATAAAACAATTTATGAGATCTGATTAATGTCTATTAGATGAAATTAAAGCTACCAAATTGGTGTTAAATAATTCCAGTTTCGAAATGCCAGAAAATGTCGGTGTAATGTTATTCAGGCAATTATAATCAATGAATTACTTCTTGCTGCTGAAATATATATTTGCCATACTCATTATGCATGTTACTAAATAATTGAAGGATAAAGACTTTCACGCTACCTGAACAATCGGTAATATCCCTTCAATTTCTTCAAAAGTAGCTTCATGTCTGATATTTCTTAATTTACACACTTTGTAATAAATCCAAGCGAAGTCATCGATTTGTTTTATTTAACGGTGCACTTTTTCTTGCAATTACTTCTATTTTTTCGAAACCAAAATTATTGCTTTTCCACTGACAGACGACTTACATGCGTGATTTGAGTTAATACCCACCAGTTTCTGTCAATGTAATTATGTCTTTCTTAGCCATTTTTATACATTCTAATTAACGCGTCTGATCGTGACAGACCACGTTTTGAGGTCGCTGGTTAGACTGTATACTAATGACAACTACAACAACAACAACAAATTTATTCGTTGGACTGTATTTATTCATAAACTAAAAAAATCTAAATCGAAAATGGTAAATTCCCGACCCATGCCATCAAAAATGTATGCTACGTAGAAAGTCGGAATCATGAACTAACTAAAATTGCGCAGAAACAATGCGCTGTACATAACTTATATTGCCGCCTAGGAGGCAACAGAAATTGTTGAACATGTCACGATATCTGAGGGCTGTACAGTGCAACATAATTTTCTTCGAAGAAGACTGGTTCAAGGATAAACTGAGAAGCAAACCCATATCAGACGGTAACTTTAGGCGAATGTCATGAAATTGTACAGAAGGTACGTGGACTTTCCATGGCCCAAATGTGACAATTCTGGGTGTTTAAGGTTCCTCCGAGATGAAAATGGGCCTCGTTACTTCAGAGGGTGCTCCACAGGCAGGAGTCATCACCTTCCATTTGGGCAAGAAAAATTAGTGCAAAAGATAAGCGACACTCAGTGTTAGCATCAGCTAAGTCAGTGATAAGCGACAACACATCAAAAAGATGCTGGCTGTGGTTTATCACAAATTGAAAAAGTGCTTTATTTTTCTCAGTATCATTCTCACTGTTCCTTATGGTACATCTGATTGCTGTGATACTGCACGTGCATTACTGATGTCATGATCATTCGTCAGTGGCTGCTCGAGAATGTCAGTGCTACCTCTTTTGATTTCTGTACTAACAGGTTTTTGTCCTCTGCCATGTTGAACACATAATGATCCAGTTTTTCTGAATTGAGGTATCATGTTTGTCAAAACCGAAACCGATATCAAAACCGGAGGGGGGGGAGAAGAAGCAAAACAACTTAAATATACATACTAAAAATAATACAACACATTAATTAAAATAAAATAACATGCTGAACAAGTATTAACTTAGAAGTCAAACAACAAAAATATGCCTTAATTTGCAAATATAACGCTGATTTTTGTTTGACTTCTAAATTAATATAATGGGTTGTTAAAAATTCTTTGATCTTTTTCAAGGAGCAGCTGAAGAATTTTCAACAGAGGTATGTTTCTTAATTATGTCTGGATGGTTATAAATTCTTGAAATAATTCAAAAAATTCAAAAGAAAGGGCCAAATAAAATAATATATAATTATATGTTTTATATGATGATGCGTAATTGATGATGATAACTAACAAATTTAAGATTTTCTTATCTGAAGTGTAACTCGTACTCCTTTACTTAAAACACTGATGAAGTAATCAATTGAAGTTGAAATTCTGAGATATTGGTGAAATATTACTTTTTTATCTTACTTGATTCTGAATTCAGTTTTCTTGATTGTAAATGTTCATGCCGTTTTTTCTAGCTTTTATAACTGATAGATTTATTGGAAAAATTTGTTCTTTGGTTTTCAAGATTTAGAATCATTATGTTTTAATCCTTTCAAGAACACTCAAATGAGATGTCTGATGTTTTTTTAATTTTGTTTTAGAATTTTAATTACAAGTTTGTTTTCTCATAGTCATAATTAGTCCCATTACATTACTATAATTGTAAAATTCTACATTTTAAAAATTTTCTATATTAATTCATTTTTATATAGTTTTCAACTCACTTTCATTGAAGTTTAGTTTCATATTAAAATTTCTTTTGTTTGCAGCATATGAACGCCACAACCGGCCTTCAATTACTACTCATACTTTTCGCCCTCTTCAAAATGGGGAGGCAAATGCTTCAATTCCCATAGATATAGATGGATCTCCTGAAGAATTTCCTGATGATTGCAGTGAAGAGGCAACACCAACTCATAAAGCTTATCCTCCTCCTTTGCCTTTGAGGTAACATGCTGAGAAGCTTCACCTTTCAAGATGTTTAAAAAAGATTGTTTAGTTAAATATAATTTTAGATCCTAAGTGTAAAAAAAAGTAAAGGCTTTCTGGCTCTAATTGATCATATGAAAATTTTATATAAGTCCCATGATAAGAATTCATTAGGAGACATTATTATGTGGTGCATAAGCAATAAATATTCTGTGCCAAGGTAGGTAATAGGTGCTTTTAGAAATATTGTTTAATAATTACAGTCTCCTCAGGGCTCACTTATTGTTAGTACAGGTGTGGCAACCCGAGGTACCGTAGTCATTCAGGGGATCCATGTTCTTGACGGGTGTCATGATCCTGGAGCCCGAGTGATCTTAACTCTTTTCTGTCTTCTCTTAATTGAAACTTTTTCCTTCCCTTCTTCCTTGTGGTTCTCCTCTTCGAAGGTTTTGGCTCGTCATGAAAAACTGGAGTAGCCCTTGTCTCTAGTTTTCAGATGGCAAGAAAATTGCTCACGATTTTGCTGTGTGTGGAGACCCATGTCGCTGGAAAGGAGAGTCCTGGTAGTTGAGGGTCAATTTACTGTCCCCCAACACACTGCTTTGGCCTCTGCTTCAGCTAAATGGGAGGCACCTTGTCATCCTCACGGTTTTCGATTGGCTGATCACTAGTCCATGTGTCTGTGGCTTTTGAATAAGCTTTTGGGAGTACCTGCTTTCGGGAAAGCCGACTGTGGGGCTTCAGCAGTTTGCATATATACCTGGTTATCCCTGGCGCAGGAATGTACGTTCCCTTATTAGACTCCATGGTGGATAGGGAAGCCGTGTCCGAATTTTTATTTCCTTCGAATATGGCTTCACAGATTTTTATTATACTCCATAAAACTGCCAAGAAATCATCAAGTAAAAGATCTCAAACTACGGAATTTGCAGAAAACAGTAAAGTTGTTCCCCGACTTTTGGTTATGACAGGATCTGCTGAATTGCATAAAATGTCGCCTTTCCTTGCTCAAAAATATATAAAAGCCTTCCAAATCAATTAAATGCTTATGGTCTAGTGACTTATTAATAGAAACTGTTTCTGTTAATCGAAGACCCTTCTTACTATGTCAAAAATATGATATGTTGTTGTTACGATTTCTGCGCACAAAACTCTGAATTCTAGTCATGGTGTGGTATCTCTAGCTGACCTATTAACTGTGTCAAACGAAGAATTCATTGCCGAATTTGCTGAGCAGAATGTGTGCAATGCATATCGTATTAAAATCAGAAGGGATGGTTAATTAGTTGACATTAAACATGTTATTTTTTACCTTTAACTCTCCTCAACTTCCAAATCACATTAAAGCAGGCTATTTGCATTGTCTGGTGCAACCCTATGTGCCAAACCTATGCGCTGTTTTCAATGACAGCAGTTTGGGTACTCAAAGGCTGCTTGTTGCGGTAACCTGGCATGTGCTCGTTGCTCTGTTGTGGATCATGAAAGTGAGGGTTGCACTGCTGAGCCTCTTTGTGTTAATTGTAAAGGAAGTCACACAACTTTCTCTCGCTCCTGTCCCAAATGGAAATTGAAAACGAAAATCCAAACTATAAGGGCAACCAAAAAGATATCAGAAGCTAAGTGATTGTTTGAAAGCACTCAACCTTGTCAAATCTGAGTTTTGCTGATGCAACAAATCTGTTTGTTCAATAGCCATTCAGACGTCACTTACCATTCAAATAAAGACTAAAACTGGAGTATCACAAAAAATACCAAATAGCAATTTATCTGCCAGTACTAAAGATATATCTAATCATAAAAAAACCTGAAGTAAGTAATATTAAAAGACAAAACCCTCTTCAACAACGTAAGCTCAAAAAACAGTAAATCCTGGTCATACCTCATTAGAGAGTATGCTATCAGAGACACCTGATTCTGAAATTGAATTAGAAGGATTAGATCTGCCAAAAAAATCTTCTGCCATGCCTAATAAAGAAACAGCATAGACAAAATAAAAATTCATGATGGCTACCTTAATTTCTTGGAACTGTTGTGGATTTCATCAAGGTCTGTCAAGCATCAAAAGCCTGATAGATATTTATCACCCTGCCTGTTTTGGAGTGCAGGAGATATTTCTCAAGTAAGATAGCATAGCTAAGTTGAGGAGGTACTCAACTGTGAGAAAAAACTTTTTGTCAGGTGAATGCATAAGCAGAGATGTTGCTAACCTCACCTCCCGTATCTATCCTTTGACTGTCTTTCTTTTGAACATGTCTGCAAGCTGTTGTGGTGCAGATCAATATCAGAATACTTGTCACTGTCTGTATCATCTACTTGCCTCCTAATGAAGGAATAGACGAAAAGGAATTAGTTGATTTGGTAGAACAGTTGCCTGTTACTTTCATTGTTATTGGAGTTTTTAATGGCCATAATAATATCTGGGGTAGTGGTGATATAAATTTCTGGGGAAAACAAATAGAAGACCTCATTAGTGATTGCTGCTTTTGCCTCTTTAATAGTGAAGAACAAACATATTTCTATCAGCCCACGAGGAAATTTCACAGTATTGATCTGGCCATTTGTTCACCATCACTTATCCTTTTTGTTCATTTAGTATTGGGAACGACACTTTTAATATTGATAATTTCCCTGTCTTTGTGACTTTTAATAGAATTACAAGCATGGCCCAATTCCAGGTCACCACGTTTTATGTATGAACAAGCAGACTGGGAAATGTTTTCTCATCTGGCTGTTCTCACTAATAACATGACAAAGGAAGTGCCAATTGACGAAGTTGTGAAAGCTATCACTGATACTCTTGTTCGTGCAGCTAAAATTTCTATTCCCATATCATCAGACAGGCTTCCTAAATATCCCAAACCATAGTGGAATCATGACTGTCAAGTAGCTCATAGACAGCAAAGAAAAGCCTTATCCCATGCCTAGCAGTCTTATCTCATATAAAAAGGCAAAAGCAAATGCTCGAAGAGTGCATCGCCAAAGACAGAGGGGTACTTAGATCACTTATGTGTCATCCATTACATTTTCCACTCCAAGCAAGTGTGTTTTGGAAAAAGTTTAAAAAGTCTCAGTTACTAATTCAGAAGTCAAACAACAAAAATCAGCCGAAACTAGTCCTGTGAAAATTTTGTAAATATAACGCTGATTTTTGTTGTTTGACTTCTGAATTAGTATTTATTCGGCGTGTTATTGTGTCTTAAGTCTCATTTAATTAGGATCATGAACTTCCCCTTTTGGAAAAGGATGGCTTAACGTATAGCAGCAGAGAAGATATTGCTAATATCATAGTTGAGACTTTTAGTGCTGTGTCAAATAGTACTAATTATCTACCAGCATTTCTCTCAGTTAAGCTTTGTTGTGAGAATACATCCATCAATTTTACTTCTTCCGATACGGAAGCATATAACACTGATTTCACTATGATGGAGATGAAGAGAGTCTTGTTGCTGATGCCTGTAGCAAGCCCTGGCCATGATGCCATTTCTTATGTCATGCTATGTTTCCTATGTAATTTGTCCAATGAATCACTAAAATCTCTTCTCATTCTGTATAACAGAATATGGAAGGAGTGTTTTTCCCTAATGCTTAGCGAAATGCTGTAGTGATCCCCATAGCCAAACCTCTAAAGGACCCAAGGAATCCATTAAAATTATCATCCTATTGCTCTCACTAGTTGACTACGCAAACTTCTGGAGAAAATGGTGAATAGTCACCTTGTCCATTTTTTGGAAGAAAATGGTTACCTATTCCCAAATCAAAATGGTTTTCAGAAAGGCCGATTAACAACTAACAATGCGCTTCTGCTTGAGACTTCAGTGTGTAGTGCCTTTCTTAAGAGGAACCATTTAGTGTCAATTTTTTTTTTTTTACATGGAAAAAGCATATGATAAGACATGGAGATATGGAATTCTCCAAGATTTTTATCATTATAGCATATGGGGAAAACTTTCAGTTTTCATTCAGAATTTCATGAAAGACAGGTTGTATCAAGTAAAAATTGCTTCTGTGCTTTCTAAATCGTTTACCAAGAAGAAGGAGTGCCACAGGGCTATGTACTGAGTTTAACCCTCTTTAATGTTAATACAAATGAAATTCTGAAGGAACTTCCCCAAACCATATCTGGTACGTTATATGTCAGTGACTTGCAAATAAGCTGCCAAAGTGCAGGCATGCGGTGTATGGAGAGACAGCCGCAGATTGCCATTAACAGGATAGTTATGTGGTCGAATAAAAATGGATTCAAGTTCTCTAATCAAAGACAATTTGTGTCCATTTCTGCTGTAAAAGAAATTTTCATCCGGATTCAGAAATCTTCCTAGAGGGCTCACCAGTTCCAGTAGTGGCAGAAGTTAAATTTCTAGGAGTAATATTTGATAAAAAAAAGTAGCTTTTTTTTCTCATGTCATAAGAAAAAGTGTTTAAAAGTACTAAACATTATGAAAGCATTATCAAATACCTCCTGGGGTGCAGATAAAACTTCCATGCTCCAAATTTACGGAGCTCTTATTTGCTCCAAACTCAATTATGGATAAGTGGTCTGTGGATTGGCACAGCCTTCTGTGATAAAAAAGCTTGATCCTGTTCACCATCAAGACCTGAGAATTTGTTCAGAAGCTTTCAGAACATGTCCTGTGTAGAGTTTGTACGTAGAATGTTTCAAACCACCCCTCCAGCTAAGGTGTGAGCAATTATCTCTTCAATATTGTTTCAAAACTGTATCACATCCTGATCATCCAGCCAACCACTCACTGCTTGACAGTCAGTTTTATTTGCTCTACCAACCGTGTCCTTGTATTCATGCTTTTGGATTGTGCATCCAGCAGTGGATGCAAGAACATGACTTAAGTGAAAGTCCAAGAGGTAAGTATTTGGAAATACATCCTTGGAAAGATGCACACATTGAGCTTGTCAACATATTTTCCAAATTAGCTAAGGACAACATCAGTGATGTCATGTACAAGCAGATTTTCTATGAGCATAGACAGGCTTTCAATGACTATGATGCAGTATGTACAGATGGATCTAGGTCCCAGGATCATGTCGGCTTTGCTTTCGTGTGCGAGAATACTGTATTGAGGGAAAGAAACTTCATCTTGTTTGTACCATCTCTACTGCGGAGATTGTTGCTCTACCATTAGCCCTATCCATCACAGGTAAACAACATAGGAAAAATTTCATTATTTACACAGGCTCACTAAGTGTGCTGAAAGCTCTGGAATTGTATGTGAATAACACAAATCTGTTAATTGTAGAAGTGCTGAAGCTCAATATTAACTTCAAGGCCAAAGATTACCAGATCCTTTATTGCTGGTTACCAAGTCATGTTGGTATAAAAGGGAACGAACTGGCGGATATTACTCCAAAATACGGCTGTGGGACATCCAGCCAACATATCCCATATTCAGATATTAACACTGATTGGGAGGAAAATTCTGATGAAATGGCAGAAGCTTTGGGATGCGCAGTTAACCAATAAATTACGAAATACAAAACCTAAAATAGAATGTTGGAAATGTGCCCTAAACCAAAAGGAGCAGGTCCTTTTGATTTGACTAAGAACCTGTCACACAAGGCTAACACACACAGGTACCTATTTAACTGAACCACTATGTGCTGAATGCAGAACTATTTCAACCATTCAACACATTTTAATTGATTGTCCAATTTTTATTGTTTTCAAAATTTATATTGTAATAACTGTGAAATTTCAGCCAAAAATTTAGCTGGTGGAGAGCAATATTCTAACATTTTTTACTTTTTGAAAGCTACAAAGATTTACCACATTATTTGAATGCCTTGAATTTAGTTTCTGCTTCAGAAGGTCTGACTGGAATCTAGTTATATTCATATTATAAAAATGAGTAACATCATGGTTTGAAGATAAATGTAGTAAAATTTATCCTTTGAATATAGAGATTTCTATCTATATTTCGTGGTTTTCGTAAAATAATTTTATGTGTTTGATTTTAATGCATTTTTTATTAAACTTTATTGCTATTTTTTACTTATATGTAACTTTGTCTTAAATTTCTCTTTGTGTGTATGTATTGAATGGTACATGTGTTCTTGTCTTTATTAAGTTTTGAAAATACACAACATTTTGTTTGGCGCAATATAAACTCATGAGATTTGTGCCAGAAAACCCCAAACAACCAGCCTAATAATTTCAGTTAATGGTACAAGTGTTTATAAAAGGTATTCTCTGGTTATAAATATAAAATATATCATACAGCTGTGTTATTAAAAAATATATATTTGAATTTAAGTCTCTTGTTTTTAAATAGCTTGGTTTTTCAAACACCTGCACTATATCTTTAAAAATAAATTAATGATATTATGCCACATTTAATGGCATCGCTATAACTAATTGGCTGGTTGCTATCCTGCATGAAAGATAAGATAAAGGACGAAGACCCTGCTAACGCGTTTGGTTCAGCGCTCTTTATTCAACCCGGGGTATTCCGAAATCGTCGCGGTATACGGGATTCCGAAATTGCAGTGATAGGTTCAAATACAATTGAAGAGTGTATTATATTTATGTTGTGCGGTATTGACAGACATATTTATGATTGTAAACTTGTGACTTATTGTAAGTAGGTATTTAATTTACACTATTTAACTATAGTACAGGTCAAATATTTTGATCTTTAGTTTTTTATATGGGTTTAATGAAAAGAAAAGAAAGCAACCAGAAAAAGCATTCACTCAAAACTAAAAGGAGGATAGAAGAGAGATTCTGGTGAACGTCAAACTCTAATAGTCTCATGAATTGACAACTCAACAATAAGGACCATCATGAAGAATAAGAAAAAATACTGTCTCGGCAACTGCAACACGTAAATCTGCAACTAGAATTACTTCTTCTAGAAATAAATTATAGAGGAATGGAAAAAAACGATGTCTATATGATTGACGAGAATTGACACAATATGCCATTAAGCCAATCTATAAAATGGAAAAAGCTAGAAGAATTTTTAATTACATCAGGCGAGACATTGACAAAAGTGAACTTTCGGTGCTGTGAGGATGGTTAATAGATTTAAACATCGAAATAACTTCACAACTAAGATTACAGCGAAGCACAAGTGGTGAACAAAGCAGTGGCGGAATTCCAGCGATATTAAAAAAAAATAATGAAGAGGAAACGATCCTCCAGAAGTGACTGAGAAGAGGAAACTATCCTCCAGAACTAAATAGATGAGCATTTATTTGTTTTTTTTAAGATATTCGTTTTGTTATGTATTTGTTTTATTTTTGCAAGAAATAATAAGTGGTTTATTTGGGCTTAAGAAAAAATGCTTGGTTTTATTTTATTAAAAAAAATACTTTTAATTATACTAACCAATTCCTAGCATCTCCCTAACTCCAATATTTACATGTAAAGATAGCCTCATTTAGCGCTGTTTCGCATTACGCTCTACTTTGATGGAACGTATCTCCCGCATTAAGCAGGATCTTACTGTATGTCTCATTTTTTCACAACACTTCTTGGCTATGCGGATGATAAATTTCTGTATATAGTAACATTAAGTAGTGTCTTATAGAATTAAAACTGAAAAGGTATAGATGTTTCTAATGACTAAATATCAATAAGAAATATGGATGAATCTTTGCATTATGGTAACTTAGCGATTTTTTTGGCGAAACTTTGGTGATACAGCAACCTGCTAGTTTTTTTTGGGGGGGGGACACCAATTTTGTTTTCACAAAGTAAAGGCATGCTTTTTTTTTTTTTTTTTTTTTGTTCTTTTTTTATTCAACATTTTTTCCAACAATCTGCTAGCCGAATTATGCTTATGCTAGAACTTTTATGGAACAAAAGTGCTTAATCATGACGAAGATTAGGTGCGAAATTGGGAGAAAGTGTAGAATCGCCCACTGCTTCCCACGTTTTTTAAGAATTGCATACAACACGGTATCCATGTACACGTCACTATTTTCACTTAAAAAAACATCTCAGAATACACAAAAATGCATTGCGCACACTTGACTTTATCATGTACACATCGACCTTTTCACTTAAAAAGTCAAAGAAAATTGACAAAAATCCAATTCTTCTTACTCTTGTAAAAAGCGCCAAACAAATAAGTGGGCAATTCTGCACTTTAGCAGCGAAATTGTTTCTAAGTGCTTATTAGCTAAAATCCCCATTGGAATTTTTTGGAAAATGTCACATTACATGTCTCATGATCTCTCATTTCTCTGAGACAAAATAATCTGTGATTGTGACTGTGTACTTGTCAGATTATTGCTAAAGTCCTAGCTAGTAACCTTTATTGCCTTACCAAAATGTCGCCAAACTACCTGTTACCATATTCTAAAGATTAGCCAAAATATGTTTTCTCTAGCTTTTCAAGTAATAAAAAACCAAGTTCTTGCACTATCTGAGATGTATTCAATAAAAATTGTTTAACATAAGCTGTGCACGTTTTCAAATGTAAATTTGTAAGATATCTTTGCGTCAAAAAATATTCTTGTAAAAGTGCAAATTTCAGATTTTAATTTTTTTTAAAAAAAACGTAATTTTTGTTTTTTCTCTTTTTGTTTTTCCTATCAAATCTAAGAGAATCAGGCTTTTATATGGCTGTAATTGTTAATTAAGAAACAATTGCTTTTTTTTTAAAGCAAAAGTAGTTGAATTCATGGTATTTTGCCAGTTTTGTTTTTCTAGGATCTGTTTTGCATATTACAGACTTATTAATAAAGCAGTAAGCAATCTGAGAGGATCTACTTTATTAATAAAATTTTTCTTCCAAAGAATTTTGAGAAGGATAAGGACAAGTTGCTGATTATCATAACAAATTAAATTTTGCTTATTTTTACTTAGCATTGTCATAATCTTATAATCATACTCATATTTGATTGATTTTGTAAATTAGAATTATATTTCTGACTAATTTTCAAAAGATTTTTAGTTGTGCAATCTTTTTTAAACATTCTTTCTTGGATTTTCAAAGAAATCTTTCCTTTGTATAATAATGTTACTGATGATTGTACTGTAATATGTATATTTCTTATTCAAAAGAGCTGAGGAAATGGAAACAAGTGTTCCAACCATTCCTCCAAAACCTCGTGTTTTGCAGCAACGAAATGAAGGATTGGCTTCACGAGCTAAGTGCAATATAGGTCAGAATGATTTAATTTTAACTCTCTGTCTAGATATTTTATGCATTTTTAGTTGCATCATAAGACTTAAAAATTTTTCAGATAACAGTCCTATTTATGTAAATATTGGTGATATATGCAGTGCCTCTAACAAAGCTAATGTCTCAAGTGATTTGAATATTCAGGATAACTTGATAAAGGTTTGTATAATGTATTAAGCTTATTAATTTAAATTTTATTTTGTTTCTTATTTTTGATGATATAAATCTATTCCTGATTTCTATCTTATTTTAATTTAGGCCTCCTTTCAGAAGAGTTTAGCAGCTACTCTTGCTCAAAATGCAGTTCATCAGAAGCTAAAGGAAACTATAACATCCAGTTCTGAACTATTACCAGGAACCAGTACATTCCAAGGTAAATCATTTAATTATGTGAAATTTTAAACATATTTTGTAAAAGAGATATGCCTTGTATAATTAATCATCTGAAATATTTTAAGATATTCAATCAATGGTGACCTCTGAAAATTAAGGTTATTTTCCAGTATTTTCAGAAGTGCCGTAAACAGTATTAGGCATTTTCTTTTAGTTTTAAAAGTTTATGTATTTCAGAATTTTTTTTTTTTTCATGCAAAGAGCAAGTTTTTTTTTATATTGATCTTCCAAGTAAATGCATATGCAAAGACAGAAGATGCCTTTCGCTTGTAAAGCACATTTTCCCTCTGTTGTATCTGATATTGAAGCAGTAACTATATCAATTTCATTTTATTCAATTTTATCCATAAATTTTAAAATTAATTTTTTTATAAAAATCTAAAATAAAATTTGTATCATGACAAAATGTTTTTCATATGAGAATTTGCAAAACCTGCATTCTGAGATTTGTCATTTTTCTAATAATTATGTAATGATGAATAAAAATTGCTTGTTATTATTCTAATTGTGTAAGTGATAAACAAAGAAGTATTATATATTATATTCTAATATTTTTAACATTTAAGCAAAATTTGACGAAAAAAGATTTGTATGCATTGAAACCACTTGAAGAATAACAAACCAGATTCCATGCAATTTTCATCTTCTGTACAAGTGGTCATCTTAAGAGAGCATTCCCATTATGGTTAATATTCATAACTTGCATAAACAGAACTTTGTTACAACACAGAAACTGGCATAAGCATTTTGTCTAAATGTTCTAACTTTATACAATGACACAGTTGTAGCATAGAAAAACTTGCAGACACATTCATACATATGCACTTTTGCTTTCTCCAGTGAGCTGCAGCTTATACCCTATTTATCAGGTGTGAACAAATCTAATGATTTTTTATGCAATATGACTATGCCAATCGTGAGGCTTAAGCTCTCACATGAATGCTCCCTTAGAGAGCACGATTGTTGTAATGGTCAATGCTTCTATTTTAAATATTCTTTTCAGAAGTACTAGGATTCAGGATGATTATATTAGGGATTCTGAGTACTGAATAAAAAATGCAGAGTTTAAATATATAAACTCTTTGGGAAAACAATTCTAGAAAACATGAATAAGTTGTTCATATTTGTTGAAGTATCTATGTGCTAATGACATTTTCCTTATTTGATTTAACTGGGGAAAATAAAGAATTTTCCCTTAAAATAAAGATTAATGTACTATTAAATTATGATTTCTGTTATTCAAGCAGAAATTTATCTTTGAAATAATGTGGTTTTCTTATTAATTGCTATACTGATAATTTATAACATTGATTATATGATGCAAACAGTATATTTAATCATTGTATTATTACAGTACACATGCATATGAATTACACATTTATGCATATGAATATTAAATACAGTACACATTTATGCATATGAATGTTCATGTTTCCCTGTTATATTCAAAGATGTATTTTAGTATTTTAATTTTGTAATTTTTGTCTTTTTCCCTTTGTGACACTATTTTTTGGTACTTGTGAATTTTGTAGTAGGCTTTGTTCTTTTTGTTGAAGTTCAAATCCACCCCATTCCTCCTCTCTATTACAAAATAGCAAAAGAAGATCAGGTAACTGCTGTTGATTACCAAACACATTCCTTTCTGTTACCAGTCGTGCCAAAAATTTTATTGCTGTATCTTATTGTAAGGAAAATGTTCAGCTCATTCTTGGTTTATGTCCTGGCTTACAAGTATTGCATTGTCTCTGCAAGTGAAAATGTTGAACAAGAAAAAACAAATGCTGCAGCAATTGCACTGGGGGATGGGGCCAAAACATCTTCCACTGGCCTTGCTGATGTGTTTCTTGAGTACAGTTCTTCAGCAGGCAGTCAAAATGTACCCTAAAACTGTCTCTCAAGCCTCAGTGCTGTTTTAAAAGTAAAGTTTTGTATAATATATATTACAAGTACTGAATGATATTTTTTCTTTTTGCCTGTTTTGTACTTACATATTAATGGAACACCTTTGTGCAATTTAGTAATTTTTTGCAGATGAAAAAGTTACTTATCAAGTGCAAATTGATTGTTTTTGAGACTTTAAATAAGAATCATGACTTTAATAAGTGTTAAAAAAAAATAAAATGCTTGCATTCATTTGCAGATCTGTCTATAATTTTTTTTTTTTTTGTGTGTGTGCTGTTCTTCTCCTATAGTGTATAGCAATCTGCTTAAAAATCACCAGAGAACTGCAGACACTTGACATCACCCAAACCTTGGCAGCACTGGCTGCTCACCAAATGCATCTCCTCATTATTCCCTTTAGAGGATTTGCTGCAAAATTCTATGTTCCAGAAGAAATTTTAATTCAATTTCATCCACTGCTGGCAAATTTCATAAGTGCATATTTTAATACAATGAAAAGAACACACACGAAAATGGCGAATATTGTTCCAGCTTTTGGTGTTGCTAAGCGTACAGTAAATGATTGGGGGGGGGGAAAGAGGAATGCAACTGAATAATTTTGTAGTAAACTTGATGATAAGGTGGGCTAACTTTTTGATCTCCTATAAAGAAACAAAGGTTAGAAAAGTTAGATGATGTTTTGCTGTTATGGTTTAATCAGGAGCTTAGCAAGGGGAAGCCAATCAGTTGACCGGTGTTCAAAGAAAAAGCTGTTCTGCTTATCAGGAAATGTGTGAAGACTATGGCAAGCGAAGGTTGATTTAACAGATGGAAGAAAACAAACAGAATTTATATGCTCACGATTTCGGGAGAAAAATTATTAACCAATTTTGAAGCTGCAACGAAATTCAAATAAAAATTGAAAGCTTTTATTAACAAAAAGGCTTTGTCCGACAAACAAGTTTATATTGTGGATGAAACTGGTTTGTATTATAGATTGCTTCCAGAGAAAACATTAGCGTTTGGGAACGAAGCCACTGCACCATGCTACAAAAATTGTAAAGACAGAGTGACTTTGTCTGTATGCAAGAATGCTACTCGGAACTCATAAACTCCATTTGATGGTTTTTAGCAAATGAGCAAAGCCAAGAGTGTATACAAATATTAGTGTCAAGTCCTTGCCAGTGCACTATTAAGCTGTAAGGACAGCTTGGATGACTGAACAGCTATTCAAGGGATGATTTCATTCCGAGTTTGTTCCAGCTGTGACAAAACATCTCTAGTAAAGAAAGCTATAAGAGGAAGTGTTTCTTTTATTGAATAATGCTCCTTCTCATCCTAGTGAGGGTGAATTAAAGATAGGTGATTATTGAGGCAGTCTTCTTGCCAGCTAACGTAATGTCTCTATTACAGCTTATGAATAAATATTTAATAGAAAATTTAAAGAGACAGTATCTAAGAAAGCTTTTGACAGCTATCAGTGAGGAAGCTAACTCTGATTTAAGCATCATTGATTTATTGAAAAAGATTAATATTAAGGAAGCTATTTATATGATAGCTGAGTCATGAGGTTGCCGAATTCACAATGATGACAATCTTGGCATAAACTTTGGTCACTGTGTGAAAAAAACGTAGAAGGAAAGGCAGTCACCTCAGTTGAAGAGACACTTTTGTAATAGCAACTTTGTGTCATCTTTCAATTGTCTTAATGGATGCCAAGGTGTTAATGTTTAAGATATGGAGTGGTCGTTGACCGCTGCCAGGGATCTTCAGCGAGAAACTCTATCAGATAACAACATTATCGGAGCCGTTGTTGATGTGGTTTATGGTGATGACCCCGACATCAATGACAATGCAACCTCTGTCATATCACATAAAAATGGAGTAAAAACATTGGAAATGGATTTATGCTATGTGAAACAAAAGGTATCAGCTTTCTCCATTAATGTGATGCTTTTAGAAAAATTTTCGAAATAATGCAGTGAGTCACCGAATTTCCAGCCTTCAGCAGAAATGATGAATTTTTTAAACATTCCTTCTAATGTTCAACTTTTTTATAAATTGACACATTTAAGTAAGTAAGTGCATTTCCAACAAATAATCAATCAAATAATTTTTTCCCTCCTTTGCTTTAACTGGAATTTTGCTTAACTAGCTTAATCTCATTCCAGTTTAGGTTGGTTAAGAGGGAGTTTACTATATATAATAATTCTTTTAAATGCATCTTACAAAATATGTGTAGTTCTCTTTAAACAGTATGGAAAATATATTTAGGTGAAAACAGCAAAAAGTGCAGACATGTGGTTTTGGTATTGTACCAGTCATATATGAGTTTTATTTATGTCTGAATATTTTCAGAATTTAAATGCTAATATAGGTAACTATTTAACGATACTTATATTTTAACAGAGTCTCCTTACTAGAAATCGTTAAATGTGCAAAATGTGTCACTGGCAACCATGTATATAGCAATTATTCAATTTTAAGAATTAGTATCTCCATTTTCATATTCTTTCCCTCGTATTCTAATTTTTACAATTACTGTATACAATTCATCATATATATTTTTTAGCTTAAATTCTTTTTTAAATTATGAATTTGTAGGATTTACCTGCAATGGACGAAATTGCAGTAAATGTTTTTCAGGAATACAGTAGTTTGAGCACAATTGCTTAAGGGAACAAATGCTTTGAATCTTTTCTTTAAGGGATTGACTGAAATTTCTACGAGAATAAAAGAAAGAAAAACCCACTTGTAAGTTTTTTGGGATAAATGTTTAATCAAAATATAATTCATGTTTGTAATGCTATATATCTATGAAATAATTTATTTTTCTTTCAATTCATTAAATATCATCATTCTTTTTCTTCTGTAAAAAATTGCCAAACTGCACCACAGTGGTTATGCTAAGTGGTCATAAGTACTTATTTAATTTAATATAGTGTCATCATCTTAACTATAAAGGAATTAAAATTTTGAAACAGACGTTGCATATTATGTATTTATTATTTAAAATAAATATGTATATTTTGTAAATATAGGCATATTGTGAGAAAAATATAGCATATGTAATGAAATATATAAGAGCTATTGGAAGTAGGTTCTCTCCAATAATGTTATTTTAAGTTTCAAAATGCATGTACATATTCATTTGAAACATATATGGCTGTCTCTCTTTATTATTGTATTTCCATTGTTAATTATGACCACCTGCCACATGTGCTCTTCTAAATTAACTGATACAAAAATGTCTCGTATCGTTATCTCGTATCGTCGGACATACAATTGTGTAAACATGGCTGCCAATAAAGTTCATTTATGACTCTCTATTTTGTAAGAATTCCTGATAGGAAGAAATACTAGAAGCATTTCGAAAACTAGTGAAAGTTTTTGTTGGACATGCAGTTTTGGATAGAATGTGCAGGTGATGAAAAATTTGGAACTGGCGATTTTGAACTGAATGATAAGCCATGCTTTTCATGGCCATTTTTGATCAATGATGATATCGTCAATTGCAGAAAAGTATCACTCAGCTCAACAAATTATTTAGAACCATGTTCGGAGACTAAGATTAGTCTAGATATTCCAGATGGGTGCCTCATGAATTAATTGAGAAAAATTTGCTTGATCGATTGATCATATGCATATCTCTGCTTGCTCAGAACAAAAATTAATTTTTCCTGGACAAAATGATAACTAGCAATGAAAAGTGGATTATATGTGAAAGCATCACTATGAAAAGAGCATATTATAAGCCTGGACAACTTGATCCCTCCATCTCTAAACAAAACTTGAATCTGAATAAGAGAATGCTGTGTATATAGTGGGATGTCCAAGAACCAATACATTACAAGCTTTTGAAACTTCTGGAAAGTTTAATGCGGTGAGATACTGTCAGCATGTGGCTTTAAACATAGTAACCAAAGAAAAGAGGTTGGCTATGTCCAATAATAAGCATATCATATTGCATGATGATAATGGGAGACTACATGCTGCTTTGGCAACTCATAAGAAAAATCACAGAGCTAGGCTTGGAAATTCTGCCAGAGCCACCATACTCTCCAGACCTAGCATCCTCTGATTATCATCATTCATTTTTCTCCTTACAAAATATTTTGAAGGAGAAAATTCAAAACTGAAGCAGGTCAAACCAAGCAATTCTTTGCTTCTTGCTTCAAGATATTTTTTAAAAATGATATTTATAAATTACCATCAAATTGGCAGGTGGTCATAATTAACAATGGAAATTATATTGTATGATAAATTTTATTAAAGGTATAAAAATGTATTATTTTCTTTCACTTCCCAAATGGACAGAATTTTCCGGTAGATGTTATATATATATACACACACACATGCATAGATACCACATCAATAATCAGTCATGCAATTTATTTATTAAATCATTAAACTATTGAAACAATGAGAATATTGTATTTACATTTGTTAATATTTTAGCACATATTTTGCATAAAATATTAAGTAACTTGCTCATTCTAGATTCATATTTAAATATCCAAGGTTATTAAAAAACTTTTATATTTTTTGCTATCAACAATATTCTAGGTAGCACTAATCCAGTAACATCTGCTTTTGATGAAAGTGTAAATAATGCACATGCACCTCCTCCACCAGTAAGACGTTCTTCTGCTACTAGACAGCCACCTGTTGTTCCACCTCACAGAACACTCAAAACCAATGACCCATCCACAAAAGAATCAACTTCATGGAATGTCTTCAGTGAGTCTGCTGATGGATCGGATGCGCATGCACAACTGATGAGAGCACTTAATGCACGTCTTGATGCTCTTCAAAAAGATGAGGAAATGGTAGCACCTGATCGACTTCCCCCTCCACCACCTCCATTAGAGGAGACAAGTCCTGAAATACCTGCTCGACAAAACTTTCTGCGAACTGCTCCTGCAAAGAAACTTCCTCGTGTCCCAGATAAGAAAAGTCTCCTTTCTGACTTAGAATCAAAGTTGAGTCATGGGGAACATCAAGATCATAAAAGCAGTGCAGCATCTAAATTTCATACTGCTCCAAGACCTCTAGAAACAAAAGCACAGCGTCGTGTTTCACAACCAACATTCAGTGAACTTTTGGATCAGTTTCCCAGGAATCGTAATTCAGTGGAAGAAATGGTTCCAACCAAAAAGCTTCCTTTGCCACCAGATCGCAGGAGCTCTTTGGATTTAGATCATACCAAATCTCACCGTGTTCTCACATTTGAAGCAGGAGGAACAAAAGTGAGTACAGGAGATGCTGCTTCTAGAGTACAAAAATGGCTTTCAGGTCGTGGATCTGTGGATGTATCTCAATGCCATGCTGATTTGCTTGGAGAAATAAGAGAAGGAGTAAGCTTGAGAAAGGCATCTAGTGATGATCGTTCAGCTCCGATGCTGCGTAATCTGAGAGCTAGGCATCCCAAGTAAACAGGATTGTATAAACAAATGATATTTCAAAATATATGGCAAAAAAAAAAGAAGAAAATCTCTAAAAGTGATATGCCAGATGTAGGCTATATAGTTATAGTTATTGGTACTCATCCCTTAGAAACAAAAGCACAGTGTTTTGTTTCTCAGCCTGCATTGGTCCTTTAATTATAGCTATGTAGTTATCTGTGTATAATTCTGACTGCTAATAACATTCCATTTAAAGAAAATAAGTTGTTATATATTGACATTTTAAATGTGATTTTTTGATGAATGACTTAATATCCTGTAGCTTCTTTTTAAATACAAATTGAATTGCTACATTCATGTATATTATCTCCATTATGTTTTCAATTGAGTATATCATTCTGGACTTGGCAATATATATGTTGTCTGTGCATGCATGATTCCAATACCTTGAAAATAATGCAGATAGTAACATGAGAATTTAACACACACACATATATATATATATATATTAGATGAATCAAGTAGGAGACTTGTGTATAATGTATTTGATGTAGAACATAGTAAATTATTTCTACTGTGTTTATTATTTATGATCACAAAAGTACAAGAGATAGAATTCAAAAGGTTTTTTTTTTTTTTTTTTCCTTTACACATTGATCTGTGGGGAATTCCTTGATATTGTTATTATTGTTTCAGAGTTTAAGCCATTAATTTTGTAATATGTAAATAGCTATATGTTTAATTATTTCATCACCATTAAGGACAGTATCTGCACGAGATCAGTATTCAGCTAAAGGGAAAGGATGAATAATGGTAATTGTAGTATAATTATGTGACTTGGGTTCACAGAATACTAAAATTAATTTTCTTTTCTTTTTTAAAGCAGTGGTCTCAAACTGGCAGGCTGCATGCAACCATGATACAGTTTTATACAGCCACCAATACATTTCAGTTATGTATTTGTTTTAACACCTTGCTTATGGATTTCAGTATAGGATAAATTCATTGCACAGTGCATTGCAATATAGTATTTATTACAAAAATAGAAAAACACTAGCAAACATTTCTCTAGTTATTACATTCCAGCTGAGTTCGAAGCTGGCAGTGGCACACAACCAAAAGTACATATATAATGCATATAACAGCACTTTGAGAGACCCACAAAAGAAGCTAAGGGGGGAAAAAGTACATTAATTAGCATCTCAGGAAATGACAGTTTAAAATGTAAATATAAACAACATTAGAGACATGGATTGTGTTTATTTGCATGAGTGCTATTGACTCAAAAAGAAATAGAATGAATAGATTTATGATGTTAATTAAATGAAAAAATGAATAGATTCTATATCCTTGCATGTTAGGCTGTGTGACTTATCTGAGGTCAATCATTGGCCAAACATTCAACCAACTGACAGCTGGTAGAACATTTTTTATATTTTGGAATGTGCTCTTTCTTTTCTCCCATAATGAGTTGGGATTTTGCTTTTCTTCAGTTGGTCCAGAGATTGGTAAGCTGGATGTACAGTTACGGGACTCATATTGCTAAACAGATTGAGACTAATATATGGCTTGTAAAACTTGATATTGCTGTTTGTCATTAGATCTATGTTGAGTCAATACAAATCATCTGAAATTATGCAAAATGTTTGAGTATTGCTTTCATATGAAAATTCATCTTGCTCATTTAAGGTTGTAAATAAAATTATAATTGTGATTTTAATTCAGAGATTAAACTGCAAACCATGTCTTTAGCAAAAGATAAAGAAAAGTGACAGAAGAAGGTTGTGTTTTTCAAGATAAATGAGAAATTATGTACTATTGTTGTGTGTGCAATAAAATTGTATGTTTTATTTTTAAAGAGGCAATATCAGTTCTTCTAAAAGAATGCAATTTTTGTTTTGTTTACAAAATGAATCATAAAGAAAAATTAAAAATCTTGGTAGGTAAACTGAAGGGGGGGGGAAGTTACACTTTTTTAAAATCTGGATTGCAGGAAAAACAATTACAGAAGCAAATGCAGTGAGTACAGTTTGTGTAATTTTTGCTATTGTGCACATCTTTGTAAAAAAATCAAAACCATTTAGGGATTGTGAATTTGTTAAACTTTGTTTGATCAACTCAGCTGAACTTCTTTGTCCTCGCAATCAATAGTTATTTTTAAATATTACTGTGTCAACCAATGTAGTAGTGGAACATATAAATAAAATTGCTAGTGATTTATGATGCCAGTTAAATGAAAAATTATTGATTTTTCTACATTCTCAATAGCAGTTGATGAGAGTATTGACATTACCGATATAGCACAGCCTGTCGTTTTTGTAAGAGGTATTATTGATCAATTAGAAGTAGATAAGGAGTTACTAGAAACAATTCTCATGTAAAGAAAAACTGTTGCACAAGGTATTTTTTCCAAAATAGTGAAAAGCGTAGCAAAAATAAATAAATAAATAAATTGATGTAAAATTGTTGGATTAACTAATGATGGTGTAGCTGCAATAGTTGATAAAAAAAACTGAGTAACGTTAAAATTAAGAAATATAGTGAAAGAGGAAAAATTTTCAGAATATGTTCTGCTTTATATGTTACATTATTCATCAAGAAGCACTGTTTGCCAGAAGTTTGAAAATGGATGATATTATAGAAATGATAATTAAAAGTGTAACCTTTATTCTGTTTTACTTTGAATCATCGATTATATGTGGACCAGCTTTGAATCATCGAGAATTTGTTCCACTGCTTGAAATTATGAGTTAAAAAAAAAAAAAAAGATTTAATATAACAACAGAAGATGTGTTAAGTTGAGGAAAGTACTAATAATTTTTTGATTTCATTATGCAAAAAAAAAAAAAAAAAAAAAAAAAAAAAAAAAAACGAAAATAATAGCATCAACAAGCTGCATAATCATACTGAATATACAGCTAGAATAATTAGAATTTCTTCTTGACTAAACCAGCCATCTAAATAGTCTGAATAAAGAGCTGTGAGGAAAGATAAACTTATCACTGATATGTGGGCTTCTATTAAAATTTTAAATTGCAAATACAGGAAACACAACTAAAGTAAACAAATTTCACACATTTTCTGTCTTAAAAACCACCCTTTTATTCCAATGAAAAATCTCTAGAATATGCAAGAAGAACGGCATTATTAGGACAAGAATTTGAAGTTTCTCTAATTTTAAATTATTCTCATTGCCATTAAAAGCTGACATGATAATCATACCTGAAAATCTACAAATGGATCTAATTAATTTACAGTGTGATACAAATCTTAGTCAAAGAATTGAAAATACAGATTTGATTAACATTTATTCATACTTGTTGAAAGGTAAATGTTCTCAGTTACAAATGTTTTGTACTAAAAATATTTGCTTTGTTTGGAGTACATTTATATGTGAACAGTTTTTTTCGCAGTTGGAAATTAACAGGTCTAGCAAAAGGACCCAATTGACTGATGAGTATTTGTAATCCATGATGAAGATAGTTTTCAGTAATTTTTCTCCAAGGCTCTAACATTATAAAACTGGAAATGCTGTGAAGTGTTGAGATGTAGTAAAAATTATAGAAATGTATAATTGTTTACATAAATCATGTATTTTTCTTGCATCTGTCAATAAAAAAGTTAATATCTTAAAAAAATAGGTTGTTGCTAATTATTCTCAAGTTTTGTTCCAATGGGAAAATTTTTTTCTAAAAATTAGGTTTATAATCTGTTTATTTTATGTTGAGAGTGACTTATTTAGTGGTTAATTCAACATATTAGAATAATCTGAATATTTAGCTGCTAGTGTATTTTATATTTAGGTGCTAGTATATTTGAATTATGAAATGTAACCAACAGAAATTTATTATAGCTAGAAAATAAGTATGATAAATATGAATTTTTTTCCTTTGCAGTACTATTATTATTGTTTATATATGTTTTTGAAAATATTTAGTAAGTCAAACTTGAAATATGTCATGATATAGTTAGTTGAAATTTAATATAAAATTTGGGTTAAAAAAAATCTTGCCCACCGGGTTATTTTAGATCGTGTTTGCAACATGCCATCTGTAACACGAATGCAGCCCACATGCAATTTAAGTTTGAGACCACACTTTTAAGCCAGATAATTTCTTACAGAATCGTATTCCTTTTTTCAAGAAATTTGTTAATTAATAGCTTATAATGCTAAATTTGTTAAAGTTGCTGAGAGTTTTATTCATAATTTTAGGAAAGGAGCAGTGAAGCAAAATACAAAATTAAAAAGAGTCAAAATGTTGATTCTGTTCAGGCAAATAAATCTCTGTGTAATGGAAGAATTATAACTTTTTGTGAAATACTTTCCAATAAGTTTTGTAATAATTAAATTATTTAATAAATATTTTCTGAGTAGTATGAAATATCTTTCAGTGAATTCTTAGCATTTTAATTCATAGTAATTTCAGTACTGTAGCAAATGATTAAGAAATCCATGGTAAAACATTTAAATGAAGAATAGAATTGGAAATGTAAATAAAGAAGAGAAATGTTAAAGGACCAAAAAAGTAGAGAGAAAAATATGTTTTTTTTTTTCGGGGGGGGGGTGTAGCAAATTTTTTTCTCGAAATGTGTATAATTCAGGGTAATATGTTTTTCTCAAAATTTTGAGCAAAAAATTTTTGGGATTACAGAGTATGCAAGTATAAACTAGTGCATAACCCCATGTTATGTTGATTACTGTATTTGAATGAAAACTTAACTAAAAATTTGGCCATATTTATTTTATGTTATCATTTTGCTGTAAGGGTATTTGAAAAATTATGAAATTATTGAAAATTATGAAAACTTTCATCTCTACATTCAGCATCTGTTGGTTAGGGAAAAAATTCCAAGAATGTATTTGGCTTGTGAAAATGAATAGGAAGTTGCTTTGTTATGCATGACTGTGCTTGTATTTTGAGAATGTACACAGTATAATCACATTGAGAAAATTATAACTTTTTTTTCCCATAAGAGTTAGGAGATATGATATCATCACATAAGCATCTTTATGGAGCAGTAATTTTGTGTAAGAAATAAAAATTCAAAATAATCATTTTATGTTTAATATTTCTTAACTCGTATTCACTTACATGTATAATATGTGTAAGGGAAACATACTGTTTTAAAAGAATCATGCAAAATTTTCTCTCAGGTGGACAAAAAACATTTTTTTAATGTGTCTATGCATTTTGTGATTAGTATTTCTGAAGAGGACAGATTAGGCAAATTTATATGAAATTTTTTCTTTCTTTCTTTCTTTTTTTTTTTTTTTTTTTTTCTTTTTCTTTTTTTTTTTTTAGCCCAAAGGGCATTAGCCCATAAGTTTAAGTGACCACACGTCTCGATTTTGGCGGAACAGTCCCGCCGATTATTAAAAATGTCCCGCTTTTTAGAAAATATCTGCATTTCTTATTTTAAATGTACATCAAAATATAATATCTGTTATTTATTAATAAAAAACACATAAAATACATGCAGAGTAAACTAAATTAGGTGATGTGACGAGAATGTTTTTTCACCGTATTCGTTTTCACAATTGCAGAAAGAATTAGATTAAATGCACAATTATGTCCATAATATATAATATGTCCATAATATGCACAATTATGTTCAATAAGTACTATGCTGCTTCCAACCATAAAGACTTAAAATTATTTCCCCACAATTGTTAGACTTTTTGATCCAGAAACAGAAATTAAAATATAAGATTTTGTTTCATTGCCGGTGAAACTTTTTTTTTTTTCCCAGTGGCAGATTGTGAACAGTTACAGGTTTGTAACAGAGTCCATTAATCTATACTAAGGCCAGACGTGGTGGTCTTTTTATTATGGAGACATCTAATAGGTGGGCCACCATTCCTTCCTATGAAGGGACAGACAGTTACAACCATGCCTTCTCCGGGATTCGAACCCAGGCCCTTCGGTATCGCAGTCAGGCTCCCCTAACCACTATACCGTCTGGGCGGCTGCCAGGTAAAAGTTCACAAATAATTTTTGGTTCAATAAGTACTATTTTAAAAAATTATTTGAACAATAAAATTATGCCTATTCTGAGGATAACACTAATGCAAATTTTGGTGGGAAAGCTAAAAGAGGCATCAATAACGTCATCACGAAACTTAACGAACTGTTTGAACCAAAAAATTATTCGAGTAGGTTGTGCAGCG